CGATAAAAAATTTACTCATTTATCTAAAAAAAAATAAAAAAATGCCTAGATCACGTATTTTTGATCGATATTTATGTATACATTTATTATTTTTCAACTTTATATATAATTATAAAGATTTTCGGAAGTCCGAATCTAAAATAGTAAATTAAATTATAATGAATACTCGAGATTCCTCGAAACTACAGAATAATCTTCATCGCGCGTTCCGAGCGTTTAAAATTCCTTGAAACCGGCTATCCGGACGCTTCGTAAATCGTCGTCGGGTCGGTGAACGTCGGCAAATTAGCCGGCACCGAAATGAATAGACTCAAAGAAAAGTGAAACAATCGGCCGCCCTATTTTGAGATTCGTGCATTGAAATCGACAGTACAATAGACGTTCTTCGGCAACCCGCGAAACAATGAGGTCCGCGCGAACGAGGGCGGCTGCGGGAGAGTCGAAGGTGAAAATGAAGGCTATAATGTAACAATGCGGCACCCTCCTGTGTGACCGAGTGGCCCCTTCAATCGGGAGCGAAGCTTTTTCTCGAGTTCGCGACGCTACCGCTCGCCGATCAATTTCCCCGATCGAAACTGGCAAGTATGTTACGCCGCGGCAAATTATCGGCGATATTTCATAACGAATCGCAGTTGAAAGAAGTTTTATAAGAAGGATATGCCCAGTCTTCTTTTCTTCCTTTTCCCTTTTCCCGCTGACACACGATTTTTCTAACCGGCGGAGATTGACGGGAAAGGGAAATAGATAAGATCGATGCTGCCGATCGCAGCAGTGTATCGGAGGGGAGCGAGGTCGTCCGTTAAATTCGCCATTAGAGCAAACGGTGCGTGCGTACGTACGTGCAACGCGCAAGTAAATTACACGATGCATCGCACGATCTGCCGCCCCACATTCCCTGACGCTCGCCCGGCGAAGAAATTCGGCGCTCGCCCGGTCGGCCGGGGCCGGTTCCCAATGATTATCCACTTAAATCGTGAAGTCGCGAGCAATTATGTGGGGGTGCGAGGGTTAATTCGATAATTGCATTATATTCCGTTCCGCGAGTAATTGCCACCTTTCCGCGAATGCAAATCCCACCGCGCTGCGGAGGTGTACCGGCCGAAACTTGCCTTCGCTGCTCAACTGCACACGACGATACTCCATTTAACCATTTTACTGTCTCGTTCGTTGAGGTCTCATGTACGTCGGACGGTAATTAACAAAAATCTGTCATTAATTCATGACGGACACTTATACTTTTGCGATCATATTTAGGCTATAATGTTCCAAGTTCCTCTCTTTTGTAAATTCCTTCATCAACTTTTTGGAACCGACTTTTGTGAATAAAAGCAACTTTTTCGTTTACCTTCATGCAGTTTGTCGATTCAATTCTTAATTTCCGCGAATGCAAAACTGTCTCCGCCGCTGTGTATTAATCGAAACTTGCTTTTCGTTTGATCAATTACACACGATATTCTATTTAACCATTTTAATGTCTCGTCTGCTACCGTCTCGTGTGCAATAATTAACAAGAAAATTAATGCATGACAAACAATATACATTTGCAATCATATTTAACGTACTAAATTTCTTTTCTTTATCAGTTTTTTGGCCAATTCAGGACCAATGTCTGAATGAGAGCAATTGCAATCATTCGTTATTTAATTTCTTATTTTTTACACTAAATTCTGAATTAAAAATTTATTAAAATCAAAAATTGCTCAACAATTCAAGATTAATTAATGGTTAAGTGAAGAACGAGACTCTTTATTATTTCTTTCTTTACTAAGTATGTAAAATTTTTAATCGTACGCGAAACTTTTAATTAATTAATCAATTGATCTAACGATTTTTTTCAATACATTATTTTTCTCATATATAAAATTATGACGTAACGTCACACTCGGATTCCGAGTTTTATCCCCCTTTTTGTCACGCGTTTGCGAATTAATATCTACGAGTGCGAATTTCGCGCCCGCGTCAAATTGCGACAGGAGCGTTAGATGCTTTAAGGGGGATGAGATCGAGCGGAGGAGAAGATCGTCGGGTGAAAGAGGGCAGAAGGAGATGAGAGGAAGAAGAAGAAGGGAGCGAACCGAATCAAGCAAACGCGTTCGGCTGCAAGCGAAGGTTAAAGAGGGGAGAAGCACGCGTCCGCCACGCTCCCCGTGCACACACCTGGGGCCAGTTGGCTAGCGGAGGCCCTTCCACCATGGGCCCGCAACCAATGTCCAATTATTAACAAATTATGATCGCGAAATTGAGGAGTCTTCCGGAAATACGGAAACGAAAGCGCTAGGAGTTAGAGCCGAACGTGATCTACAGTCGCCGCTGTATCGCTAATCTCAGCGAAGTACCGCGGAAATCATTCCTTCTCCGAAAGGTTCACCTTTACGCGGCTTTTTAACATCCATAATACCTGACGAAATGCTTTGAAACTATGCTCTTAAGCATCTATTACTACTTGACTGTTAAAAAATCTATATAAATGCAGAGATAAAAGACCGTTTGTTGGTCTTTTAAGCGATAAGGTTTGAAGGCACTCGTACGATATCGCATCGGAAGAGCCGAAATTAGTGGAGCGAGTTTCCTTCCCGAAGACCAACCGTTCGTAGTTCCTCCCTCGCGATGGGGATTCGCCGTCTTTCTTATAGCCCTTTCACGAAACTCCGCAGGAGCACCTGCCTCCGTCGCTTTCGTGCATTTCGTTACATAATTGCATCGTTTAATTTCCTCCCCGAATTAAATTAAAAAATTATTGATTTATTTATCACGCGACGCACGCAAGTATGAAAAACTATGTGTCCCTCCTTCTTTTTCTAATTCATAGGTCTGTTTTCTTTCTCCTGCAAGTTGCAGCACAACATCACGTTTTAATCAAACGTCTCGCAGCGATAGCGATTACGAGACGGCCAGCGGTTACGGTACCGGTAACGCTAAGAGTAGCATCTGGTTTTGCGCGTAACGACCGCGTACAGTTAATTCGACCGGCCGTTCGCTTGAAAATCCTTTATGGCCGGTGAATACGTCGTCTTATGATTACACGCGCATTTTACCCGGGACACAAAACAGTCCCGCAGACACGCTGCGTGTTGCGTCTAATCGTCTCCAAAGCCAGACCATCGAACGTGCAACCTCGCGGTAGGTCACAAACACGTACGAAGTCATTGATTATCCGGTAATTCTAGCATCGGCCGCCGACACAAACAACTTTCTTTCGGTTTTCGATCAATATTCTTTTTGGCTTTATGCCGAGCATAACATGTCCAAGAAGATAAAATAAAAAAGTGATAAAAATTTTTATGTTTTGTTTATTGCTTCAATTTATTAATTGTTCTAATGCGTAGATCTAATTTTTTTAATTAAATTTATTCCTAGCATTGACTAAAAATCAAATTTATTTTTAATTACGTATTTATTGCGACTAAAAATTAAATTTATTTCTTCTGGCTTTATTGCTAAAAATTAATTTAAGTCTTATCTAAATTTAGCACAAGACTAGTAGATAAATTGTAACTAGAAAAATTCAACAATTGAGTGATTGTGCTATTGTCAGAAACGATGTTGCATTTACTTTAATTATTGATTATATTTTGTGTAATAAATTATAAGCATCATTAAAACACATCGAAAGTTGCACAAAGACTACCGGCGGTTTCAGGTATAACTACAAAGAAGAAAAATCGACGGGATGAGACCAATAATTGGACCGACTTGGTCTAACTACACGAAGATACCGACAGGAAACTGGAGCAAAGTGAAAATCTTCTAGTGACATTAAAGTCGCATTAGCCAGAATTACGAGGAAGCGGAACGGCTTTCCGGTTCATTTGCTTTCACATATGGATTATAAAAGAGCCGACAGTGAATTTTCACGCAATCTCATAATTTTGTTTCGTGAGAAAATCCCTTGGATTTCACATCCTTGTGTCATCATAAATGACAGGTTTCGTTGAAAAATAACAAAATATACTGCTTTATATATCCAAATAAAAACGCGTTACAGAAACAAGCGTTCTCTCGCAACTAAAATATAAAACTAATTTTCTTTTATTAAAAATTTTTAGAAAGATGTAATTACGAAAGTATTTAATAAAAATAAAAAAATTTTGTGATCTGAGAAATTTATAAAAATAACATTCTTATTTCACGTCAACCTTTCTCTCTCTCATCATAAAAATTAAAAATCTCTAAAAATAATTTAAGTATAAAAAACCAAATAAGTAAAACTATAAAAATTAATAAAAATATAATAAATATAAGAAATATAATAACTTTTATATAATACCGAATACACAAGCGAAGATTTCGCTCCGCTTCGCTCTTCGATTAGAGCGACATCCCGTCCGTCGGCTTGATTAATCGTCGTCTCTCGGCCAGATACGTTTTCGCGCATAAGAGTTTTATGAAGATATTAACGAAGGGTCGTTTTCGGTAAACGGCCATAAGCTGTAAGCGGACGTGTGCAAAAAGGAGCAGAAGATCGGTGCTGGTTTTGGCGCTGTCTAAGACGCCTGAGCCGACCACCGATCGTACGACCGATAACCCGGTTAACCCCGGCAGTCTGTTATTATAATATTTGCCGAGCCGAAATATATAGCGATTGCTTATTTACTCGAGCCCAATTACGACCAAGCGCGCGCCGACGAAAGGGGCCCGCGCTACGTGACGTTGTATAAGGGGGGGATAGGATACAAGGAGGAGGTGCACTTAGTCCCGAACCGAGTCGACCAACCACCCAACCCGCATCCTATCTACCTGCCTCAACTAACGTCGGCGACGCTGTAACGATTAGGTTCGCACGATCAGATACAAGCGAGCGTAATGCCTATTATTGCTCGCCGAGAACGCGTTACGTCCAATGCTTCAGCGATATCGACGATTTTCCCGTAAAACATCATGCCTTTCCTTTCCTCGTTAACGCGCCCGGGATTGTAACGAGAAGCGGAATGAGGCGTGAAAAACGCGCAGGCTGCAGAAGAGATTTGTAATCTCGACAGGGAAATTGTAATGGTCAGGGTCTTTTTTTTATATTTGTTTGTGTGTCGAAATTACGTATATTTTCTATTGACGGGTATAGATAATATTAGAAAGAATAGATGAATCGTCAAACCGCACAAATTCTTGACCAATTCACAAGACGATTATCATAGTCACTTTCAAAAATGTATATATTACAGGTCCTGAAGTCAGGCAAGTTCTCCAAACTGCACTCAAGTAAAAAAGAAATAAAAGTTCTCGATTATTTTACGGCTTCCACAATTTCAACAAACCATCCTCACTGTACGAGCATAATAAATTTTGATGAGGATGATGCGCCAAGCCGATCACGTCCTTTTCGTGTATCTAAAAAGAACCAGACGTTGTTAAGCAATGATATTGCAAATTGAAATGTGCTACTGCAAAAGATGAAGGAATACTCACATTGAGCGTTCTCTCGAGTTTTCCCGACGACGTGGAGAAACAGTACAGCACGAGATCTTCACCGACGCAGTAGATAAATTCGCCGCGCGGGCTCACCACCGTGCATACAAAGTCGCCACCTTCTCGTTTACCGCTGGAGAAGGATCTCACTATTTGTCCTTGCATGTTCATGATTACTACGGTATTGGAACGATTGCACACGACAAAGTGCTCCGGATTTCGCGGAAGAGTATGTACGCTGTTCACTGTGAGATCGGCGGCTCCTAATGATTTGTAAGTGCCTATGCATTCGGTAGTCTTTAAGCTCCAAATTTTTACAGTCCCATCCGACGAGGCGCTGCAGAATAAAAGATGATGTAGAAATGAAAATAATTGTTTTCTGTTTAGAACAGTGTTTGCAGTGATACCTGATTATGTTATGGCCGTCTGGAGAAAAAACGACCTCATTAACGAACGAACCGTGACCGCGGAATTCCTTCAGCGTTTTTCCCGACTTAAGGCCGTGTATTCTATGGGATAAATGTTAATATTTATTGATTGCTGAAACATATTTATGCCAGTGAAATCATTTCCTCGTTTTACCTTATAGTTGTGTCAAATGAAGTCGATAGAATTTGACTATTGTCTCTGCTGAACTGTAAACAGGTCACTCCTTTCGAATGCGCCTTTTCGAATCTTCTTAAGCACTGACCGCTCTGCACTCTCCAGACCTTGATCTTACCGTCTTGACCGCCGCCCGCCAACATCTCGCTGTCGCGGCTGAACGACATCGACAGCACCGCTTGCTCCATCATCATAAAGTTGTCTTGCGCCTGATACTTCAAGTCTTTCCTAATCTTGCCAGTCGTAAAGTTCCACACTTCAATAAAACCGTCCACCGAACCGGTCACCAAGTACTGACCGTCTGGCGAGAAACGTGCGCACTCCACATGCGACTTCTGGCCAAATTTGATCTGCTTTGAAAGTTGTGTCGGATATTTCTCGTCTTCTTGATCGCGAACCGCTGCTTTTCCTCTGAACAAATCTATTGTGGTTCCTGGCGGTAGCAGACCTTGATGTTGCTGCCACTTTAATGCTTGTCCCAACAGAGCGAGCAACCTGCTGGAAGGTACCACTGACACTTCGCCAGCAAGAGCAGTTGCTATGTATGCTCTTCGTTTTTCTTTTGTGCTTCCATCGGGATATGCTTCGCGTGGATCAAAATACGAACGCGCAAGTAGATTTTCTGTAAAGCAGTGTATATGTAATATCATTAATTTGTATTATATCGTAATTATAAAATAATTTCTAATGTATAATGTTATATACCTAAATGAATATATCTCTCAGGTTCTTGTTGCTTCATCATAATCATAGGATCAGTCTGTCTTAATAAGGAACGTGCTGCACCTAATTCTCTTAGTTCAATCAATTCTAGAACAACCTAAACAATAAATCCATGAATATCACAACAAATGCAGTGTTGAAACTTTGTAAAAAACATTAAAGTTAAAGATTTAAGAGTATTAAGAGTTGTGCTTAAAACCTTAATTCATTGTATTTTACAAAAGTTTACATAAGCATTCAAACCATATCTCAAATTTGAAATATTTACCTGTTCATACAGATCTATAAGCTTCTTGTCAGGTAATTTTAACGATTGTATAGCTTTTAAAACTGTGTCCCAATGGCCATTATTTATGTCAGCAACAAATCCATCCACACTGTCGACAGTGTTCAGTGACACACCTGTTTCCTCCTGTGTACAAAATGCATCAGTAAGCATGGAATCAAAATACTTATATTGAAATATCAAAAAAGGCATACCTGTAAAGTTTGCAGTGTCTTTACAAGATTTGATTCTTTCAAATATTGCTGTATTAATCTGATCACACTGAAATATAATAAGGTTATTATTAGTACAGCTCACTGTTGTCTGACAATCATATTACTGACAATAATCAATGTAATTAATTGAATCAAAGTAATTCCACTCACTCGGCAGATTCAATTTCAATTGACATTTTCAAATATCTTATAGTTTATATGTACATAAAACAAACTTTCTCTCACTTCTAGATAATATAACTCATAACACATTCAGACTTTCGACCATTCTTTTAGTGACTAAATATCAAAGGCCATCTAACGGCAACTAGTAGTCAACAAGTATTCAGGCTGCAGCTCGATCGATGATTTCAGGAGTCGTGTAAATTTTATACTGCCGTTAGATGGAATAGCTGTTCACAAACGCATTCCTTTCTACGCACTTAGTTTTCCGTGGTCAACAGCGTCAATAATACATAAACTACACAAATAAAATGCGGCTATTTAAAATTTGCTCTTCGACAATGTGAGAGTTACGATCTTTAATCGGGCCGTGAGTATTTTAGAACATTCGTTTCCTATTCTGTGCACTCACTGTTCCTGTTATGAAAGATAACTTTAGTGACACATTATTTTCATATGCCAAAAGGCATAGTTAACAATTGATAATATATTTTTTTTTATGTACTATATTTATTATGTATGTGTCCTATTTTCTTTAAAAAATCCTAATGTCTCGTTAATACGTTTACTGCAATGATACAATTTGGAAAAAAACTGGAATATTTTGAATGACAACTGCTACTTTTTATTCATTTTCAATGTCAGAAAAATAATTTCATATTTTCTCTTCTTTTAGGTTGAAGGCCATTTTTCTCTAATCATGAAAGCCACTCTTCTGTTTGTAATTTTACTTCAAACATGGACCTTTACGGTTCAATTGTGTCCACAACATTGTTCTTGTAAATCAGTTGGTGCTCAAGGTGAATGGTTGCGTCTTAAGTGTGGTGATCACTTACAAGAAATCAAGGATGTGGATATCAATATAGTTCATGTGGAGCTTACACAATTGTAAGGCTGTTCTATATATTTCTATATATTTCTATATAGTCTGTAGCAATAATATAATAATAATTTAATCAATTACAGAGACTTGAGTAAAAATGCCATTTATGTCATTCAAGTGGATGCATTTGTAAATCTAACAAATCTCAAACGACTTGATTTATCAGAAAACAAAATTAATTTTATAGGCGAAGGTTGTTTTAATGGCCTAGAAAATTTGGAGAGACTGTAAGAACTTGTTTAAATTGTCTACAAATCTATCTTAATCTTTTATATCTCATAGTGATAATATTTCATGTGTGGTTTTAGAGATTTGAGCCAGAACCAGATATCAACGATAGACAGTTACGCATTCAAAAAATTAGTAAACCTTAAGAGACTGTAAGTCTAGAGTTTGTGAAAGAGTCAAATATAAATGTGTAAAGATATTTCTTTTTATCTTATGTCTTTTTTGCTTTTTTTTGCTCTAGTGATTTATCTGGAAATAAAATAACCGCTCTGGTGTCATCTTTATTTCATGATTTGCTGGCCTTAAATCGCTTGTAAGTTAAAGCATTATTTATTTGCGCTAGCATATATTAGTTTCATTAATAGCTTTCTATATATGCATATATTGTATAGAAATATAAGTTTATGTTGCATTACATAAATTTACATGCATATATTTTAGGAAATTAAATGGAAACAGTTTAACCACTTTGAAAGAAGGAATATTTCATGGGCTCAAGACCTTAAAACAGCTGTGAGTAAACCAATTGCACATATTATTTACAAATTATATATAAAAATTAATTTTAATATATAAAATTTGAAATATAATTTTCAGTGACCTGTCCAACAATCCCTGGAAATGCAATTGTGATTTATATTGGTTTAGTAACTGGATCTCCAACTCTTCAATTAAGTTAAAGTAACGTATATTGCATATCTGATTAATTGCAAATCATCACATTGATATCCTTTACATTTAATTTTTTTATTTCAGTCCACCACCGAAGTGTGCCGCGCCGGTGTCTATCAAAGGCCAGCCAGTGAAGAAGCTAAGATTTCTACAAGAGCCCGAGTGTCAATGGATGTCGCCGGCGATCGAAATTCGACCTGTTCACAATCAAGTAGTCTTCGCTGGGGATTCGATTAGCTTGAAATGCAGAGCGCCCAGTGTTACGGTCGACAAGAGCGCCAGGTTGAATTGGTTGTGGTATCCCAATGTCACCGCCGAAATCGTGGATTTGAATGATTATAAAAATCCTCAAGAGAGCTTACCTAATATTAGGATTGAAAACAAAGATCTCATGAATAACGGTATTGTAGACAGGTAATACAGCCTTCCGAATTATTTCAAAAAGGATATCACGTATCGTCAATATCTGCATCTCTTGCTTTTCCCCAGCACTCTTCATATAGTTCCCGTTAAAGAGGAACACAATGGACAATGGAACTGTTTACTGGTTTCCGTAAACGGCAACAAGTCGAAGGCTGTCAGTGTCATCGTGATATCCGAGCATACGCGTTACTGTTCTCTGGCAGGTAATGAATTGTCTTCTCGCGCAAGAGAACCGATAATTCTAATCGGTTCCAAAATTATAATTTCCATTTAATCTCCTAAATATATGCGTGTAATCTCTTTTCAGTAACCAGAAACAACAAGGGTGTTTACACATGGCCGAAAACGGTGGTGGGTTGGAAAGCGGAACTGCCTTGCGAGGGCAATCGTTTATCGGGCTTGATGCAAACTTCTTTGAAAGCATTTTACCATTGCAACATGAGCGGTCAGTGGGAAGACCTAAATACAGAATCATGCCCGTACATGTCTCACACAACGAAAATCTTGGAGCAATTCTCGAAAGTGAATCTATCCCTGACGAAGAGCAGCTTACTGGAGACAGCAAAGAGATTCAAGAACTACACGGGAAACGGTCCGATAAAGCTGACAGATCCGGTTGAAATCCATTTCATAGTGCGAACGATGGAGAATTACTTAACCTTCTTGGTAAATGAGAAGGACCTCGGAGTGATGTTGGTCGACATCATCGGTTCGATGATGAACTTGCCGAAAGAAATGTTGAAAAAAGCGGAAATAAGTTTCAAGGCCTGCTCGAGACTGATCAAAACGATCGAGCGCATAACGGAATACACTCCGTCCATACAGTCTCACAAGCAACGTATGGCGCTTGAAGAGTTTCGTGTTAAACGCGATAGTTTCGGTGGATTAACGTGCACGTGGTACGCGAACATCGCCGCGGATACTGCGGACTCGGACGCGAGATACCTGCATTGCACGATCAACAGAACGACACCGATCAACACGAAGGATAAGACGGTGGAAGCTTCCATTCAATTACCCGCATCTTTGCTGCAACACTCGCAAGATGGTGCAATAGCTCAACAGCTCATGATATCAATGTATAGCGACAGCAGATTATTTCCCAAGATAATTGCTAATGACAGTATGGACATATCGACATGCATTGTCGGCAGTAAATTAAGTAAGTCGAAAACCGCGGGAATTTTCACGCCTCACAAATTTTTTACTCAAATTGCGTATTTCTTTGCAGTTGGCGCGACGATACGAAATCTCTCCGAACCGGTTTACGTAATGCTGAAGGCACCGTTGTTTCATTACAATGGAAAACGGCCGACACCGGTGGTGTGGGACGAGACGTTGAACAATGTGGGCGGCTGGACCAGCGATGGATGCCGCATAACGAATTTGTTGAATAATCTGATAGTCTTCCATTGCGACAGATTGGGATATTATGGGCTTTTGCAGGAAATTTCACATCTTGACGGAAACAAGTACGGAATTTTTATACATATTTTTTTTCAAAAATGAAATATTCTTTGCCGATTGTCATTCTACTTTTGTACGTAACTTTTGCAGTATGCATGGAGCAAAATTTAGATACTCACATCCGGCGATATATGTCGGGAGCTTCGTGATGATAACTTGTTTGATGATCATGTCCGTGACGTACATTATTTCGTACACATCCATCACGATGCCTAAGAAGGCGAAGCATTCCGTCATCAACACTTGGTTCGCCATGGCCTTACTGTCGTTCTTATACAGCATCGGCATCCAGCAAACGGAGCACATCGAGATCTGTCAGGGCGTCGGTCTTTCCTTACACTATTTATCCCTGTGTTGTCTATTTTGGATGGCAGTATCCGCTAGGTAAACTGCAACACGAATGAATAGATACTGACATTTATTTTTAGAATAAATGCAGATTTCGTGGAGAGAATGAACTTGCCACGTTGATAGAAATCCGTTTTGTGTTTCAGCAACATGCACAAAAAACTGACGAAACCAGGTCTGGACGTGATACCAGACGATGAGCTTCCAGATCAGCCGATACCGAAGCCCTTGTTGGGACTCTACTTAGTTGGCTGGGGTGTGGCTTTGATAATCTGCGGAATATCCGGCGCGATTAATCTGCACGAGTATGCGGGCTACTCTCATTGCTTCCTCACGTCGGGGCCGGCGCTCGCTGCGCTCTTCATACCGTCCGGTATCTTGATCGCGTATTTATTGATCTTCCTGCTGCTCATCCGACGTGCGATTCAAAATGTCGACACGAACGCGCAACTGTCCGAAGGCACTCAGGCCACGGAGAACATGGATCTGGAGCTGTTGGAGCCGAACGCGAATACTTCCGGCGACAGAAACAGCGTCCACAGCACGCAAACGGTATCCTCCGACATTGAGGATCCGGAACACTCGCAGTTCACGCAGTGGAAGGGTCAGATCATAATGCTAGTTCTCTACTTGATATCCTGGGGCAATGCGGCCGCGGTGACGATCAAGCCGCTCAACTTCATGTTTGAGGAGACCGCGTTCGCCGTGATGTACGCCATCACCGCGAGTTCGCTCGGCCTGTTCGTGCTGTTCTTCTACGGAATCGCCCGCAACGACGTGCGCAGTCAATGGCTGAAGATGCGTTGCTGGCTGCAGAAGCGAAAGACCCGTTGCTGCCGCACCAGAAGCGTGTGCGACGCGAACGCCGCGATCCCGACGCAGCCGCTGGTGCAGAACTTCGTCCCGCCGTTGTCGAACTCGCAGGCCACTCAGGCGATATCCGACACGAATTCCGTCGCTTCGTCGAGGAACACCAATCAATCGCAACAGATCTACAACAGCTCGAAACTCGCGGATTTCGCCATCAATCGCGACAGCATTCCCGCTGTACCTGCGAACGCGAAGGCAGCGAATCTGATAGTGCTGCATCGTCAGCAGTACCGCTCCAACAACTCCGTCACAACGTACACCGAACCGTCATCGGCCTGCGTCGAGATGTTCTACAACCCCCATCAGAGCGGCGTCGCCAGGAAGTTCTTCAAGAAGCAACGTAGACACACCGGAAAGAAGAACAATCTCGGCCCGAGGAAGCAGGGCGACGGTGGAGCCACCAGCGACGGCGGCAGCTGCGTTTCCGTACCCCGGCCTACCGCAAAGATCAACAATAGCCTGGAGCGCAGCATCCTGAGTAGCAGCGCTAAAGTGAATAACACCAACATACACGTCGAGCTGAACCCCATAAACGACATTAAAAACGTGAACATACTGTCGGACAGCGGCGGCAGCATCTCCGAGGAGCGAAACATCCCGATACGCTTTGTCATCGGTCAGGAGAACCTGATGCGCAGCGTGAAGAAGATCAACAACGCGCAGCAAAGTAACTCGCACGGTAACCCCGTGATGTCCGATATGACGAGAGACGCGGCGCAATCGAAGAGGACGCACGATTCGGACGCGGACGTCTCGAAAACCGACGAGGAGTGGCACTTGCGAAATGTCTCGCAGCAGTGCAGTCTGGAATACAGCTCCGAGATGGACACCGTCACGCAGATGACGAGCGAGCGGAGCGATCACAATCTGCCAGAGATCTGCGAGGGCGCGGAAACGGTGCAGGAGGAGCGTTTCTTGCGGAAGAGATGCCCAAGCGTCAACGAGTTTGAGATCGTCGCGGGCGAACACTTGCCGCGAGACACCGCCGGACGATTGTATCTCTCCAGTAGCATGTATTGCCTGCCACTGGAGCATGAGAAACCGTTGATGAACAGCTACTGCAACTCGCTCAACGACCTCGCGTCGCTGACGAGCGCAAGGCATTGCGCGTACTCAAAGCCGTCGCTTATGGACGCGCAAAGTACGACCAGTTCGAACTTGTGCGGACAAGAAGTTCCTGAGTCCCGAGGATCGTACGATCGCTCAGAACGCTCGCTCTTCGAGATAAATAGCTTGACCAGCGATAATCCGTGCACGCTGACGCCGCACGCAGAAACCCCGTACGCCTGTTCCTTGGCGAACATTCATTGTATCTCCGACAAGAGTTTAGCGGAAAACAGTTTTCACGAGGAACCGCAACTGCCAGAAGTGGATCATAACGTATTTAACGCATCCGAGCCTAGGGATCTCCTTTTGGAGGACCTTTTGGAGAAGAACTTCAGCTCTCTTGCTGATATTACATCAATTAGTAAGTCCAGTTCGCGTAACATTGATAATCTTGATTTAATCGACACAATGAGTGCGTGCGAATCTTCAAAGTCGAATGAAACGCATCATTTCGAGGCTAACGAGATCTATTTAGATGAGCCGGTGAACCATTTGCCAGTTAAGAAAGAAACGAGCGTTTAATATACGTAATATTTTGTTTATTGTACTTCTATTGTACAAGAGTACAGTATATTTTTTGGTATGCACAATTTCATAAACTGCATAAGATTAGGATTCGTATATTATTTTTTATGAAATTAATTTTACTAGAATTGTGTTCAACATTTCTCGTATATTAAATATTGTATCCTTTTATGCCTACTTTCATAAACTGCATAAAATTGATATTTAGTATTTTATGAAATTAGTTTTTGTTAGAATTGTGTTCAACACTCTTCGTATATTAAATGTTTACATCTTTCATAAACGGTTTATGCATAGTTTATGTATAACAACAGTTTATGCATAATTTCATAAACTGCATAAGATTGAGACTAGTATTTTGTATTTTATGAAATTAAACTTTGCTAAAATTTGTGTTCAACGCTCTTCGTATATTAAATACTTGTATCTTTTTACTATTTATGACCGCGTTTAACAAAGCGATTATATTTAAGAGTTGTACATAATTAAAATTAAGTATTCATATATGAGATGTCTTCAACAAAGCTTGATGCTTTATTTTAACTTATGTAAACATTATACGACTCACTGAAACTTGCAACGATATTTCATTGAAGAAATTATGCTGAACAATTTTGAAACGGAAGACAAAGTGCTCATAATTTTTATCAATGATATTATTCCTCATCCCTGAACGAATACTTTTCGATTTATCACGTAAAAACGTGACATCGAATTTGAAATCATTTTGGCTGTGAAACATTGCTTTTTCATCAATAAACTTGATAATTATATACTACAGCGAAATTTTACAGCATTTATTATCATAATGTGACATGCGCAACCCCGCGCACATTTTTATGATCTCTAAGATGAATATTAATATTCTCATCTTGAAGATGAATACTTGCTTTGTATAACTGCCTAACTACAAACTGAAAGATAAGAATCGAGTTTCTATATAAACCGAAGACTGAATATTAAAGAAATTAAATTTATGAACTTTAAATGCGATTATACCACCGACTTCCACGCAAATATGTACGTATATATATATATATATATATATATATATATATATATATATATATATATATATATACAGATATATATATATATCTTTCTCTCTTAACTGTACGAAAAATCGTTCTCGGCTATCATGCCTGATACTATATTGTAAATAATGTTCAGTTAAGTTTCTAGGACAAATGCAGTTCGTATTAAGCGCGTTAAAATAGCTTGAAAGATTTTATATCCTATTTCTCTTTTTATTATTTTTACTTTTATATACTGATTCTTTTAAAAATTATAAGTTTTAATGAATGTGTATGATTGTGTACAAGACTAGTTACTGATTATATATGTATATTGTACAAAATCTGAGTGTATTTATTCTATAGAATTATTTATAACATACCTTTATAACATTCAATACTTTATGGAAGCACTGCATCGACTCATGTTAAACATCCTAAACGTTTGAAGTTTGAATGACGTAACAATCTGCATTTATATATCTGTAAACTCAACTCTTAAAATATCACTGACTTATATATTTCCATTACATTTTTAAATCTCAAAATTGTGTAGCAAAATAATCTCTATTTACAATATTACCTTATATCTGTCCATAATTTTTTTAACTCAAAGTCACTTCCAGAATTAAGATTTACATTTACACGTTGCCCGACTTCGCTTCGTCCAGCCAGTCTTTTGGATTTTTCAGCACCTCCAGAAGCTGCGACTCTTTCGAACCAATCTTTGGCTCGTGCATATATTCCCATTTGGCGTTTAAGGGTAAAGACATGAGTATACTTTCGTATCGCGCGCCAGGTGTGTACAAGCCAAACTTGGTGCCGCGATCGTAGATCAAATTGAACTCGACGTATCTACCTCGTCGTAACAATTGCCACTGCCTCTCGTTATATCCATAGCCGTCGTTCTTGTGCTTTTCTATCAAAGGAATGTATGACGGAATGACTGCCTCGGCGCAGGAAGTCACGAATTGAAACGCCTCATTCTGACTCGGAGTGTCGAGATCGTCAAAGAATATCCCGCCCACGCCACGGCGCTCTCCTCGGTGCACGATGTTGAAGTAATTATCACACCACTCCTTAAACTTGGTGTAATAGGAAGAATTGTGCTTGTCGCACGCAGTCTTCAGCGTCTTGTGAAAGTGCTTGGCGTCTTCCTCGTCCAAATAATATGGAGTAAGATCTGTGCCACCGCCAAACCACCACTGAACGGTACCGTCCGGATTCTCTGTCTCGAAGTAGCGGTAGTTGAAGTGAATCGTAGGAATCATAGGATTGCGAGGGTGAATCACGGCGCTCACGCCGGCTGCGAAGAACGGCACTGAATCTTCCATCTTTTTGCCGCGTGCTTTCATCTGTTGAGTCGCGCTCGGTGGTAATACGCCAGTTACCACAGAAACGTTAACGCCAGCCTTTTCGAATACTTGTCCATCCTGCAGCACGCAAGTAATACCGCCGCCACCTTCTTTCCTAGTCCAGCGATCCACTGTGAAGGAAGCTCCATCGCTTTCCAGTGACTCAAGGGCTCTGCAGAAGTCTGCTTGTGTTTTCATCACCAGCAATTCCATCTTTGATCTCATACTATTTTCGCTTTTTTGTAATTTTGCAACAGCTGTAATAGGCTCTGCCATAAAACTTTTAACATAATTGTGCAAGTCATTCTGTGCCGCCAGGACTGTAAAGCTAGATACACTATATGCTGCGAGTCCTGTTAAGACTCCTGCCCCAATGTGCTTTAGATGCTTGGATCTGATCCATGTGGCATAACAATTAATACTGATGGAACGTAAGTTCCTCCAATTTCTCAGAACAGAGTTTGCAGCCATGATTTTTTTCTTAATTATTTTAATCTGTAATTAAATTTAAAATACTTTTTAATACAGTATCACTAAGAAGACATCATTATGATTCAATGACTCTCAAAACATTTTGATAAGATGTTACATAATTGGATAAGATTAATAATTAATAATATTCATAATTGACAGATCGCAAAAAAAAATATTACAAAATTACATACCTTGTTTTGTGTATATACAATTCCAATTATTATTGCTTATTTAATAATTATTTTACATCATTAAGAGTACAAATGTTTCTTATCAAGATTTAAAATTTAAGGAGAAGATCAAGTTTTGAAGTGTTTACGTATTACTTGACGAGGTTAAAAGATCTATCGGTAAAGCAGCGTTATATATACACACCTGCGCCATCTTTCTCAGTTCCCAATTTGTGATGTAAATAAACACAACTGTAATAAGATTTTTAGAAAATCAAGTAACATGTAAAAGTCAATATAACTTGAGAAACTAATATTATATTGTCAAATGGACTGAACGAGTATTACTTTTATATACTAATAAAATATCTAAATGTCTCTAATTTACTATAAAAGGGATGATCACTCAGATAGATAATTCAAATTCAATAAAGTCAATTACATTAACAAAACAACTTCTATTTACTTTTGTTCTACATTCTCTAATTCTTGTATTTATATCGAATAGTATTTTCATCATAGTATGTGTTAAACTTTTCCCAATTGTATCTACGATTGGGATTGTATCTGTCATTTTTTGGAGCTAAATTTGGCATCAAACCTAGAAAAACAAAGCAAGATAATAACAAGATAAGCAATAAAAATTACTTCTTAAAATGCATATAATGCATATACTTAAAAATATATTTGCAAACCTGCTTTATGAGCCATTGTTACTAAAGTGGAAACTCTTTTTTGTTGCACCGTGCATAGACCAGTTATTCTGCGTGGTAGCATAGTGCCATTTGATCTTACAAACTGACTTAGAATAAGGACATCCTACAAAATGTAGAAATAGATTTGATGCTAAAACACAGGTTTTACTACAAAACTTACAGTATGTTTAACATCCAGTCCTAAAGCACAAAGTGAACACGCATTGGATTTCAAGTTTATTAATAGATTTTCCTTTTGCTGTGGCACTTTTATCGCTTCGATGATTAGAGTGTCACCTTCCTTCTTTTCAATTACTGTAATAAAAAGTAATTAATACTAATTTTCAATTAGTGAAATAAACAAGCTAAGCATTACATGTGACAATAGAGGTTATTATAATTGCATATTCAATTTGACAAGTGTTGTTAGATAATAAACTCACTTTCTTTTAAACGCGTTGTCGCAGACAGCGATATACTTCTATTAGATTCTGATAAAATTGAACATTTTCTGAATTGTTTCACAAATCGACATAAAGTCGTCATCTTTACAAGAGCTTGCTGGTGTTTGCTGATATCCAGTGATTCTCAATCTCTTGTTTATGGGTCATAACCAGTGATGCAAACTCGAACCAACCAGCACCAGGGCAGCGTGGTAGGGAAAGCATGCACACAAGCGAGAACCGCTTACGTCACACGTACGTGTGCGCACACGTATTTGTCACAAAGAAAATTATTAATTAGTGACAAAACAAATCACTTAAAATCTTTGTAATTTGCAGTAATTCTTGATAAATGCAATAAAATGTGAATAAGCATCAAAATTATAGACATATCTAAATCAACCTTTCATCAATGAACCGCCCGATCGAAAGAGTACGTATGCGATTTTTCTGAAATTCTAAGTGGCACATATTTCAACCATGTATTATTGAACATACAGTGTTAAGAATTTCAGAAAAATCGCTCATACTCTTTTTCGATCCAGCGGTTCAATTGCAGAAATGTTTATTTTCAAATATTGAATCTATAACTAATTTATCTACTCTTTATTTTCAAGATTGACTTTATTAAATGCATTGGAGGCAAAAATAGTAAACAGTTAGTCCAAAGATGCCTCAGTAGAATATTCACAAATGAATTCAGCATAGCATGCTCCTGGCTTGGTCGAGGAAATAATGTGCGGATATGCGATTTGAAATGCATTCTGATCATACGCGGTAAATATATGGGAAAAATGGTATTTAAATTAATTCAATTTATTTTTAACTTTGTAATTATTTTTATTTAATATTATGATTGTATGTTTAAAAAAATTCTAATTATTCGCATTGTATGTGTACAATTATAATTATTTGTATGAATGTACATGCATATATCAAGCATGCCCGGTAAAAAATTTCTCATATATAATCATATAGCATTTAATAGAGTTATACAATATTTTACATAATTGTGTAAAAATATGTATAATTATACATGACGAAAAATAAAACGTTATATATATATATATATATATAAGTGGAGCGACTGCAGTATA